TGATTTCTCGAAGTTGTTGCTTTTGTTTGTTTGTCTGTCTTTTAAGCCATGGCTTCTCAAAAATAGCAGCATAGAGTAAGCAAGAATGCACGTCATCAGCATGTCATCTGCTGTGCCATCACTGCTTGTGTGTTTGTTTGTTCAGTAACTGCAAGGTAATTCTTTTCCATTCAGTGCGATCATGCACAAGAAGTTACAGCACACAGAAAAAGGAAAGTGCTTGGTTCATTTCTTTGGCTGCTTTATCGTAATGTATTCTTATATTAGTTCACCTGATTTTTAGTTTTTTAGTATGTGCGACTTACCAAAAGTCATAGTACACCATCAATCTTCTCTCATTTTTTGCTGCTTTACGTTCAAAGACATCTAAGAGTTTCACTGAGAGATAATTTTTAGAGTTTATTGATGTTGGTGCTGTCTCCCAGATGTGTTATATTCTAGTTTTAATTAGCATGTCAATCAAATTTCTAAGCATGTGTGCATGACTTTATTCCCATCTGATAGTGTAATAGTGGTAATGTTGCTGAGCAGGGTTTTTCTGGCTTCTGTAGACTAATATTCGTCAAGTGTTTGCTCATGACCCTCTTGTCTTATGGTTGTGGCATCTAGAATTTCTAGGTGACCTCGAATGCAAGTACTAATGAGCCCTGGAGCTCTTCTGTTGGTGAGATTGGGTTCATTTGGGTTAAAAGGACCCTTCATTCTGAACGAGGTGAATAGATCTACATCTCCCATTATTTTCCAGTTTACTTCTTTAAATATTGATGTTTTTTGGCCACTTTCTGGTTTTATGATACAATAGTTCAGAATGGCGTGTCTTCACGTTTAATGCATTGTGGTAGCACCTCGATCACGTATTTGATGAAAAGAGCTTTCTCTGAACTCTTAGATCTGAAGTGATCAGGTTACTTCAGGCTTACTGCCTTGGCATCGCCATCTCTGGAGGTACCTGCTTTTTATAACCACCAAAAACCCAGTCCGTTTTGGTTTTGCCGTGGAAAGTGCTGACAAGATATTGAAGAAGAGACAAGAGAAACGTCTTTCAGTCTCCTTCTATTGATTCATGTTAGTTAATCCTGTTCTAGACATACATGCAGCATGCAGAACAGTGAGATATTATAAAAAACATCCGTATTGCATATGGATATAGAGATAGCAGCTTAAATAGAAGAGTAATGGCTCTGGTTCAGGAAGTTGCTGAGCTATAGCTTGTTGTAGTTGGGGAGAATAATCTGATGATGGATCATCATTGTGATCGTTTTACACCCTTTCCTAGGCATCTGTTATTGACCTGTTCTGGTGATGAGATACTAGGTGAAATGGATGCTTTGACCCAGCATAGTTGTTCTTGAAACAGAAGACTGACTTTTTAGGATGCTGGCTTTTGTTTTTTTTAAGTTAATTGCAGATTTTACTATTCCATTTTATTAAAATTTCCCTTTCTTATCCTTGGTCACTTTACACAGTCTAACCATCCTTATCAATGCTCAATCTAAACATACTATGATCGTACGTAATTAGTGTTTACTGTCACATATTGAGTTAATAGCTTCATGTCACAGAAAATTAGACTAGTGGAAAAGCTACCTTTATTTTAATATGCTCTAGAATTCAAATTTTAAGATAAAAAAAGCGCCAAAATTAGAGCATATATATGTAGGAAATGTGGCACCTGATGTTGTTCACTTTGATTTCTCTCAGGTTTATCCACTTGATGTCTATGCTCTGACATACTGGCCTCTTATTTTTAGAATTTTTACCTATTTTTCAACCTAAAGAAATACCATCTGTTATACAGGTAACTAATTTGGAAAATGGTTTTTAATGTCCACTTTCCAAAACTATTTGACAAATCTGAAATTAATTGTGGAAGCAGGTAATCATCAAGTGTCAAGGTTCCAGTAACGTTTTGAAGTTAATTTGAAAATTTGATTAAGGAGTTACAATTATTATCATAATTTAGTTTAGATACGCTAATGAATTGGGATGCTTTGATATCCATGTAAAATATCACCTTGTTCCTGTCAGATCAGCTAGTTCAGTATAAAGAATTATTTAATCTGCAGATGCTTATGCATTGAGGCTTAAGTTGAGCTGCATTCAGTTTTTACTACATCACTTCTTTAGTATAAGAGGTCGAGCAAAACTGTAGCAGAGACTGTAGCTACTGTCTGATTTGTACTCGTCCACATTACTCAGAAAGGTTAGAAATCTTTCTTAGAATTAAGGCTTAAGTTTTCTGTAGCTTAATGACACTTGCCTGAGGGGGGCTTGTGTACACACAGGGAAGGAGGATTTTCAAGCTTCTGTACAAAGATCAAATGACAAATTTGCCAGGTAGGGAAATTGGTTTTCTGTTATAAGGGGAACACAATATGAGATTGTATTCGAGATCTTTAATACATGTGTAGCAGTGCCAATTTAGAAAAAACCCAAGAATGTAAACTGGGAAGATAGTGCTTACTGCATAGGAATAATGTGAAATTATATTGGAGAGAAATGTAACTTTTAAAAATAAAAAAACCGCAAAAACCCCAAAGGAAAAAAAATCCAATCCAAAACCCAGACCTATTGTTTTCATAATCTGATTAAAAAATTTCCCTAAATTGGAATCAAATTACACTGCTCTCTTCTAACCTTGGCAGGCAGCTTGTTTGCTGCCATATAAGTGATGTTTCTCAGTGATACTGCCAAACTGGAATTTGTCGAAGATGGGCACCTGAATACCTCCAAAGATCTGTGTTTGATCTTTGGAAGTGATAGTAAATGGGATCTGTTAAAATACTCATCACTTCCACAGCTGTGTAAAGGTGTTCAAATGCTGCAGGGGTTGCTGGCCAGACTACTTTGTTTGTCTTTTCTGGGTGATGAACAGGAATGTATCATGATTGCTCAGAAGGAAATCAGAGTGCAAATCACACTAAACCAAGGTCCACCTGAGAAGAGAATGAACGTGTTCGTTCTCTGTTCTAGAAGATGGAGAACAGGAGAGTCTTCGGTGTGATTGTACAGTCTCTAATCAGAATCTATAGGAAACAATCTTAACCTTCAGGCACTGTTTTCCAACCCCATTCTCTTTTCCCAGCATCTCATAAAGGATGGTAGTTTTCTTACATATCCATTGACTCTGGTCAGTGCAGCTCCTTTTCTTAATTGAATGCTTTGGCTAATAAAAGTTTAATTATATTCTTCATGTTCTATAATGGGTGAGCGGATGTATTAGAATGGGAGTGACAAGTAGCAAAGTTAAAAAACTTTTAAGTGTGCTTGGCGTTTTGCAAAACTTAACGGTGATGATAGATTTTTGCATTAAGATCATCCAAAATTAGGGTTTGCATAATGAGTCTGTACAGAGGAAGATTACAAGTTAATGTGTAAGGGTTAACAGTGAGTGAGAGAGGCTGAATGACAGTGTTGACGGTGACAAGAACACAAAGCAGCAAGAAAATTAAAGTAGATAGATCAAGGAATGAGGAAATGGAGGGGAGGTAGCCAACCCAACAGCTGTGACCAGGGAGGAGGAGGTATAACTGGTGGAATGAAAAGGCAGTGGGAAGTAAAGTGAAGTTAGGAGTTTTTCTAATGGTCAAATAAATGGAAGTGACTATAAATTGATTACTGTTTAATGTATATGTTGACTATACGACTGAATAACTTTCCTTTTAGCTGGAAAGTTTGGAATGGTCTCGGAGGTGAGGGTGTTTCTCATGTTGCCAATTAACATCAAACCTGAGCTAACAAGTTACGTAAAGCTTCTCTGTTTCCATAACTATCTGTCTTCTGTGGTTTGTAATGTCTCTTTCCTAGAAATTAAATGCTTATTTGAGACTAGATAAGATGTTTGATAGAATTTAAGGTTACAGAGGATTCTATGAAATTTAATTTATCGTCTAGAGAAACCTCTCAGCAGCACTCATTTAGTAAAAATGGTGTGCATTTTTCTATTTTTACAAAGATTGGTGAGCTTCTCTCTAAAAGCTTGATTTCTAGCTGAATACAATGGGCGTTTTAGTGTCTTTTCATTCCATGTGGTTTTGTTTTGCTGAAAACAAGAGGATTTTATTTCTTTTATTATGAAGAAATGTTGTCTTGATGAGAAAACAGTATTTTTGTGAGTAATTTAGAAGAATTTTTTATGATTATTGCTGGGTGTGCTGAGTCACTTGATCTGAAAGTGAACATTTAAATACTGTCTAAAAATTGGTGGATGGTGGCTGTTACTCTGTGTTACACAGCTGAACAGATGCATCAGATGTTTTAAGGAATACTGTAGAAAGTTGTTACGTTTTTCCTTAGTTCAAAGTATCATGTGACTGTTTGTATTTCTAAATAGGAAAAGCTTCCGAAAAGTTACTGAAGTTAAAAAAATAAACAAAACAAACCCCCCCAAAACCCCCTGTTTCCCTCGCCCGAGGAAATAGGTAGGTTAACTGCTATTAGAAGCATTTTAGATATATAATTTTAGGTGGTGTGTTGTGGAGGGAGGATTGAACACTGCCGCAGAACTGTTCCAACAAGCCTTAAGGAGCACATTAGAAAGCTCTGTAGTGCATAGGTGGTCTGGATCAAATGCATTTTTTTTTGCAGTGATCTTTACTGTGTTTTATGTTTGCAGGTAATCAAAGCTGATGTTTACATGGTTGGCTAACAAACTGTCATTTAAAATTTTCATGTTTTTGACTGTACTGAGTTTAAATTTTCTCCCTTCTGTTGTGCGCTGTAGCTCCACAGCTTAAATCACACTAAAAGCTAGCTAAAAATGTTAAATTACTTTGTTTCAGATGAGCTGACCTGTATTTCTCTTAAACTTCTAAACATACTTGTGAATTCTGAGAACTCATAACTAACTACAACTGTTATTGATACTTTTCCTGTGGTTATTTTTCATTGAAGGTGAACTTCTAAATCTGCTCAGCATGTTGCTTTGAAATTGCTAAGTTTTAAGTGTACATATACATAAGTATACATAAAATACTGCAAAATTTGATTATCTTTCATAGGGAAGTTTTTACCTTTGAAGACAATGTTAGGACCAAGATATGATGAACAGGTTGCTGAAGAAAATCGTTTTCACCCAAGTATGTTATCCAACTACTTAAAGAGTCTGAAGGTAAAGTTAAATTTTCTAGTAATTGAAACATTATTTTTATTATTAATGTTTATTCAAATGTTGTTTTTCAGGTTTAAGAAAAAAGTGGCTGATGGCTTCCTTTAGGACATCTGTACAGAAAATTTTTTTTTGTTTACATTTTCAGGTTTTCTCTGCAACTCCTAAATTTCCAAAAGTACTGTCTTATGGGAAAGAATTGCACAAAATCCTCCAGCTCATCACTGTATAAGCTGCAAGAATCTTACTCTGCTCTTATTACTCTTGCATCTTGGAGAGATGTCATTGTCAGAATTCAGATAGTCTGAGTTTGTAATTTCACAAATGACTCTTGCGTATAGATATGTTAAGTTGCAGTTTTGTTTATGGGAGTGAAAGCATTTAAAAGCGAAAACAGAATTTCAATAGAACTCTTTTGTAGTTTCTTTGCATAGTTTTCTTCTTTTGATGCATAGAATGCTTTATGGTATCTAACTAGTCATCCTCGAGTATGGAAGAAAACAATTTATGGATTTTATTCAGTGGAAAAAAAAAAAGCATAAATGGAAAAAAATTTAGGAGTGTGGATTGGGACCCAGGAGGGTGGATGAGTGCCTTTATCATTGGGTTACAGAGTTGTGCTTCTGACTTATTTCTTCATTCTCTGTTTTGCCCATTTCTGTCTGTGTACTTCGACTTGCTTGTTGTTCTGCAGCGTAGTACAACTTTGACAATAAAGGTGAGGAACAGGACCTTTCCAGCCTTTCATGTAGGTCTGTGAAATGTGCCCAGTCCAGTGCATCTGGAGATGTGGGAAATGGGATTTTGAACCTCCCAGGCAAAGAAAGGCCTACAACCTAATTCTTTTAATCTGTTTATTACAATGTTATATAGAAGATTAGCACCGTATTTTTTTGACTTTGTGTTTTTATAGAACTAACTGTGCTAGTGACATTTTTTCTGTGTGTGTTTGTTTTTTCCTGTTCATCTAAATTAATTCTGAACTTGTTTAACAATATCAGAGCTTAAACATCAGAAGAATCAGGTGACTAAAATACAAGAATCTTCATTTTATGAATCTTATTTAGGCTTAGGTATGAAGTAGATGGTGAGCTACTCCGTGTAGCGGCGACAGAAGTAACTGTGGGCTAATGTGATAAGAAAGTACTATCAGTGAAGCATATGTTCTCAGGTGCTTGAACTGGTAGGATTTTTCTTGTTTGAATTCTTAGATCTGTGCATCTAAATTCTGCTTGAGTTCCTCTTTTTATGCATTATGTTGGTTTTGACTGACCAGCTTTAGCGGGCATAGCTAGAAGTTTTCCAAAACCAATCTTATTCATGGTTTAAAGTAATTTAAAATTCTGCATATGCTTTGAAGTTAGAGAGAACTTCAGAGATTTACTCAGAATTTCTGACTATTTGCTGCTTAGTGATTTGTCACCAAAAAAGAAATCATGGTGAGCCTTCATAGCCTTTCCATTAGGCACATCAATGAGTTCTGTTGCAATACTGCAAATTCGTAATGTCTTGAGTGACATCAGATAATTAGAATCTGATAGTACAATTGCTAGCATGAGGATCCCCACTTGTATTTTGGTAATTTTGGTTAACAGTTAGAGCATACAATTTCTCTCAAACTCCCTGTTCTCATCAAATCTATTATATTGTCTTGAACCCTGGTATTGTTGCTAAATGTTTGCTGTTTGAAAATATATGATGTTTTGTTTGCTGAGATAAGCAGAGGGTTACTGGAGTGCTATATTTGTAGAACAGCAGTTTACCAACAATCTGGCAATGAGATGAATGTGCAGTTGAGGACACCTTGAAAAGTCTGTTTTCCCAAGGTGAAAGTGGCTGACCGTGCATGGTTCTCATCATTTTACGATAGTGTGTTTTACTGCTGATACTTTGCAGAATGAATCACTTCTGAAACCTGTTATTACTTAAGTCCATATAGTTTATCTCCCAAGTAAGAGACTTCAACAGAAGCTTTTACATCTGGATTTTGGTAAAAGTGAGATATTGCTACTACCACAGATTTTTGAAAGTATTGGTTCAGCATTTAAGACAAGATCTGTCTGGGAGGAACTTTCTCTAACAAACTTACTGTGCAATTCCTTTTTCTCCTGGAGCTGGTTGCTGAAAATCTGAGTGTTAGGAACTGATTTGATAAGGGATGGTAACCCCATTTTTCTTCTGATTGCCACTATTGACATAATATCTTAATGGTCTCAAAAAAAATTTACAGGAGCAATTGGTAACTGTGAATACTTTTTTTATTTCTTGAGTAGGTAGGTTAGTACTGTTTATGCTTTATAAAAGGTAGTTTTATTTCTGTTATGAAGAGCTAGGACATTAGTTAACTCAAAAGAATGTTTGGATAATTAGTATGCTCAAGTTACAGTATTCCTATTAGGAAAACTAGTTACCAGTTTTCAGCCACATTATTGTTTTCACAAATAAATTCAATCACTGTTTTCAACTATTTTCCTCAAATAAGAAATGCAAGAAAAAAATCCTGGGACTGGAAGGAATCCAGTGTATTGTAGTATGCTCTCTCCCTCCTGGGGAGGATATTTTCAAGTTCCAACATCTAATGAGAAACTTCTGGGATCGCACAGGGGGAAGCTAGCGAAGCCCGTTAATTGCACAGCAGCAGAAGAGCGCATGCATAAGGCATTGATAGCTGGAGGTAGCTGGAATGTGAGAAAGTGAGGAGGAGGGCTTTTGTAGCTGTAGGAGGACATGGAGAACCTGGTCAAAATAGGTATGAGCAGAATGGGGGTGGTATGAAGATCTTGGTATTATTGTATGTAAAAGATGAGAATTTCAAGCTATTGATGAACTTTTTTTTTTCCTTCTATCTAGTCATCTTTTACAATTAGAAGCAAGAAAAAGAACTAGTTTCAATTGTGCTTCAATGTGGTGTCTAAAATTGTAGTGTTGCAACAGTCCTTGTAAAAAATAAATGTATGTTTTAGTGAGAAGTTGCTCAACAATTTAAAATTATTCCTTCTTCCAAAGCTGTGTCATTCAATGGGCGTGGTGGACTGAAAGATGTGATTAATGCAAAACATTGGCTGGAAAAACATTTTTTTTTCCAGTGGGTGACTATCTGTTTTAACTTAGATAGTTTTTTAAAAAATCAGCCTCTATTAAGAACTTTCTAGGACCAAACTTAGGAGAGCATGACTGTGCTGACTGGTGTGCTGTCAGGGTTTCAGAGCAGAGCATAGCACCTGCGTGATGAACGTACGTGGACTAGAATCTGTTCTATGGGTGAGAATTGTGGTCGGTTAGGACAAGCATGGTGTAACCTTGGTTCAGTGACTGAAACGTTTCAATTTCTGTGGTACCCATGGTTTTTTTGCATGGATTTTTTGAACATAATTGTATACTTTCATATGTTATGTAATCTCCCATACTTTTTGTAAATTTCTTTATCCTTTTCTTTTGCCTTGCATGCTCTAAATTGCAGTGTGTTATGTGCAGCTAATCCCATGAACCAAGAGAGTGAATGTTTATGCTTTCTGTAAAGCAAGGAAACTGCTTTCAGGCTTTATACACTCTGTATGCCATACATGCTGTTATAGCTTTGGCTAAATTATATCGGATGCCTGTTTGGTTTACTACTCCATGAAATATGTGAGGAACAGTGTCACTTCACAGGATCTTTGCTTGTATATGATTGAAATAATAATGGCAAAGGAATAGCAGGCCAGCAGTCCTAGAGTCCTGTAGTTCACAATTTTCTCTCTAGCAGATGCTTTGCTGTATTTCATTTTCGTATTCAAATTAAAGGCAACATCCCAAATGCTTGGTGACGCTTTGGGTCTGAAGTACGTTGTAGTGTAGTGTTCTCCTGGCTTCTACATGTCAGTCAGGAAACTAAAATCTGTAAGTGAGTCTGTTCAAAAGAGTAATTTCTAAAAGTTGAGGGAAGAGCATGTGAATATTCTTTGAGCTCGAAAGCTTTGACATAAAATTAATTTTTGTGCTTCACGTATCTTCTCAGTGATATTTCTTCATTGTAGCAGGAGTATGGGGAGATTTGGAGGCTTCTGGTGGGACCATTTGAAGCTACTGGTATTTGAGAACAGTGGAATTGACTTTGAGTTTTCAACACTAAAATGGAATTGTCTCTCCCTTACTTTTGGATGGGAGGATGTGAAACTGTGTTCTGCAAATCACTTCATTTCTTCTTGTAGCTCTCCTTTAACAATTTGATATATTAAACAGTTACCTTTTAGTCTGTCTTCACGCTTTTATTAAAGGTTGTTTTCCTCACAATTCTTTTTTGCTTTCTCCAGGCTGTCAGATGATACAGCATTTTTTTCCAAGAGTAATTCACGTTTTGGAATGTCTTCTTTCTTACTAGACTGGAACTGAATGCAAAAAGCTTTACTTTAAAATTATTTTTTCATTACATCTTAGTCTTTGAAAATAACTTTTTGACCTCTTAGTTGAGGAAATCTCGGAAGCATTACACCTAATGCCATATTGTACATAAAAGAATAGGTTATCAAGCTGAGCTATGTAGAAGTTGGGGAGGAGGGTGATTAGGGGGCTGTTTATGTGACTTCATAGACTAAAGCTGTCTGGTAAAAACACACCTGATTCTCACATCAGTCTTTTTGCCATCTCTAACCATACTATTGATAAGATGCAGAACACAGAGATTCTTGTGCTTTTTTGGGGGCATGGCATGCTACTGGAAGATACTCTGTGAATTCCCTCCATGGAGCCATTGCTTGTATAGAACGGTAGAAAAATATCTAAATCGTTTTCATAGGACTAGCTCATTTTAGATGTACTTTCTATCCTAGCATGTTGTCTTGTACAATCACCTAGAAGTACTGGTGTGGGAATATGTCATTCTCCTCTGAACAGTTATTTTTAACTGATTTATATCAGTGTCATAGTGTTATAGACGTACAGCATGTAGCACCTGGAAATTTGTGTGGTCTGACTTGTGAATTAAGTAGTCTTTGACATATTTGCTAAATGGTGTTGAGAATGGTGGGGAGGAAAGTAATCATTGAGTTAATTACCTTTTGTATACTTCCTACAGAATTAATCACTGACTGGTATGCTGCCAGTCTGTATGTTTAGCAGCTCGGTTGACACTAAATATTTGAAGTTTCAGGTGATGTAACATTATTTTCAGGTGGACCCCACTGAAGTAGCTTGTATTTCTGCAAAACACAGTAACAGAAGTAAATACTCTGAATACAATATACAAAGTTGAAGTAAACAAAGAGAAATTCAGAAGTGATTTGGATATTACACTACAAATGCTTAATGCTGCTAACACAACATTATAATACTTTTTAATATCTGATAAAACTATTAAGAAAGTAAAAAAGTATTATAAAAGTATTGTGAAGGTATATCATCAGAACTTTGAATACTGTGGATAACTACCTCTGTAGATAAGTGGAAATTTGTCTTTGGGGTCTACCGAACAACATATCCATGTGCAGCAGCTGTTTCTGAACTGTATTCCAGTTTTCAGAAGAGATTAATTATTTGTCTGGAAGCAGTGTTTTAATTTGTAATTCTTCCAACTGCACTGATAAATTATTGCCTGTCTGTTGACCTTAAGGTAAATAACACCTGATAAAAATCTTATTAATGAGTATGTGCTGGAGTTTTGAATATATTGAAGAAGCAGTGTTCTTCTGTGTTTTTGTATGCATAACATGCTTCAGTGTTAATGTGTTTTTAAGTGCACTGTTGATGTATCTTTAAAAAAGACAAAGCTGTGGAACAAGGATTTTGCTAAACTACCACTCTTAAAATGCCTTTTAAAAAGACATCTGGTTTCATGGTGAGGATCCTGCTTGAAAGCATGACATTCAGCATTTTTACCAAAAGCAATTTCTTACACTTACAAGGCAGGAGACTAGGAAGACTTTCAGTACACAGGTGTGTTAGTGAGCTGATTTTGCACTGTAACACTGGGAGGTTTATGTTAGTTGAAATGTTATTTGGACCAAGGATCAGTAGGATGCACTTTGCTGATGTTTTCTGTGTGTTGGATGCCACTCAGTGGCATTTCTGCTTTCCATCTTGCTTTTTAAAAACATAGTAACTTCCTAAGACTGCTTTAAAAGATCTGTTTTATAGCTATATAAACGAAATGCTAAAAAAGCAAGTTCATACACAAGGGGACACATTAGGGTAGAGTGGGCAAGACAGCCTGAATTCAAGTACATCCTAACATCTGAGTGGTTGACACTGCCACCTTAATTTACTGACACTATCTTTGAAGATTTCAAGTTGTTTCACATTCTAGCTTTGAGTAAAATATTTCTGAGAATTTAAGGGAATTTTTGTTTTAAACTTGAAAATGTGTCTGTTTTGCACTCTAGTTTAATGGATGGTTAAATTAAGATGAGTTATTTTTTCTGGAAGTATACTTACGTAAGTCTCAGTAGTTAGTTTTTCTTACGGTCCTTTCACAGTACCAGTTTTTAATATTGCTCTACTTAAAGGATAAGAGCACCTGATTCCACCTTATTTGTATTTTAACACATTAAAATTATTATTTACCAGATACTTTCCTGCTGTTAGCAGATCCTTCTTATTTAGAAATGTTGGTAGGAACAAACTGAAGCTTTTGAATTGATGGCTGGTGCTGATTCAAACACCAGCTTTCACAGAGAAACACTGTGATGGTGGTAAAATGCAGATTTTTACGAACAAATGCAGTATTTAAGAATTTTTAAACTTGCAGCTGTAGCCTGCTATTGCTTTTAATTTGGGTGTTATTGGCCATTTAATGTTTATGCACTGATATTTGAACCACATATATAAATTTACTTTATTTCTTATTTTTTGGGTTTTTTTTTTAGGTTAAAATGGGTTTACTGGTAGACTTGACCAACACCACTAGATTCTATGATAGGAATGATATAGAGAAAGAGGGGATTAAGTATATAAAGCTCCAGTGTAAAGGGTAAGTTGTCTGCACTTTTTTTATATTCAGCTTTTAATTTGAAAGATCACACTGAAGTAATTAATCTTTTTTTTTTTTTTTTTCCCTCCCTCTTCCCTTTCCCTCAGCTGTCTCCTAATCTGTGTGTTCCTCTGTTTTTCAGGCATGGTGAGTGCCCTACACCTGAGAATACGGAAACATTTATCCGTGTATGTGAACATTTCAGTGATAAGAATCCCTCAGAGCTTATAGGTATATCTCCTTATATCCATTATATCCATCATTAGTTTTTACTGTTAATTTATTTCATATTTACACATAACTGCAGTCTCTTATTCTTAAAGGCCTAAGCAAAGGAATTTCCTCAGTACAGTGTTCATGCATATGCAGATTTGATTGCTTTTACTCCAGAAACAGCATGTTTCTGTTTTTTAGAAAAACTAGTATGTTTCTGCATCTATCAATTTGATTACAGCTATTGACTTAGTGCAGAAAAATGTACAGGCTTAAGAACTGTCTACAAAAACAGGATACTTGCTTTGTGTTTTTGTAACTTCTGCTGATACAAATGCAGGTTATGTATTGTCTAGGTATTGTTTTGGTATTTGATGATCTGGCTTACTTGAAGTCGTATTTGGTAACTGAATGATCAGAGATTCTTTAGCTAATCTCACAAATCAGCTGATTAATTGCTGGAAACTAGTAGTAGATATTAGTCAAAGTTTTTCTTCTGTGGTGTACTGTCTCGTGGTGAATATTTGAATGATCTTAAGGATAATTTTTTTTGTTTTTACCTAGAGCAAAATAAGTTCTCAGTTTAATTTGAGTGGGTTCTAGTTTTAGTTAAAACTATTTTATTCTGATTTGTGTTAAGCATATTAATGTTCAACTCTGTCTGCAAACTGTCAGAGACAAGAAGTCACTTTGCAGCTGAGTTTCCAGAGTCAGAATGGGTGTTGTCCTCAAGCCTCTTTGATGATCATTCTGCAGCCTTCCTGAATCTGAGTGTCTGTGCGACTTAGGAGTACATGGAACAGTTCTTTGTGTAGGTGTCGTTGATAAGAACTTGGTAAACTGAGCTGGTATGTTCATACAGTTTAGGATTCTTACAGGATCATAGAATTGTACAATAGTTGAGGTTGTTAGAAGGCACCTGTGGAAATCAGCTAGTCAGTTGCCCTTCCTTAGAGCAGGGCCAGCTAAAGCAGCTTGCTTGTGGCTGTCCCCATTTGGGTTTTGACCATCTTCAAGCTTGGAGACTCCACTACATCTTCTGGCAGCCTCTTCCAGTGTTTGCTCACCCTTACAGTATACAGGTTTTTTTTTCTTAAGTTTAAACAGAATTTTTTGTATTTCAATTTGTCCCCATTGCTTCTTGTCCTGTCATAGGATACCACTGAGAATCTTTTTTTTTTCTTTTTTTTTTTCAGTTCTTGAGAGATTTAATTTAGGCACACACTTTTTCACATAGTTTCTTTTAGGTACTTTCTTATTTCTTTATTTCACATAGAACGCAATTTTAGTTTGAGACCTATATTTTCTTCTCTAAACTGTAACGCAAGTATGTGATATGAAAAATGAGGAACTGCTAAATCGGAATGAGTGGGATCAGTCATCAACAATATTTCAAAACTTACACCAGAACTTGAAATATTGTTGATGACTGATCCCACTCACTCTGATCTAGCAGTTCCTCATTTTTCACTCTCCGTTCACAGTTCCTCCACTTGGTGCTCCAACAACATTTCAGAACTTGAAATATTGTTATGGCCAGCAATTTATATGGAGCATGGACAGCATGGTGGTATCCTATAAATAGCAGACCCATTTAACTGGTATTTCAACTTTTAAAATGCAATTTTTAGTGTTGAGTCGCTAACTTTTTGACTTCTATGAATTTTGGAGTGTTCTTCCATTATTTAGATTGCTTCACCTCTATGGAAAAAAGTCAATTGGAGGTAAGAAGAAAATAATGTGTTGACTAAGCTTTTAAATAGCCCGTGGTTTGGGCTTTCATAGTAAAAGAGAAATGTTGAGATTTTCTGTTTCCCTTCCATGAATTACTGAAAAGTTGTTTCTGGACACTTGTTTCCTCTGACAGAGCATCAGAGGGACTGGTGTGGAGGATGTTTTTATCAAAAGTGAAAGCAGTCTGCAGCAGTCATAGGACTGTACCCTGTGTGATCTATCTCTTCCAAGCCGTTGATCTCATTGCTGAGATACTTCTCATCTTTGTCATGTGTATAAAATTACTGACTTAACTCTTCTTGGTAGCAGTAACAGTTGCAGGACTTATTGGTAGCAGTTGTGTGCAATTTCATTTCCAGTGTCAAGATTTGGTATGAAAAGAGACTGTAATATGAATGGTAAGTCAACAAAAGTTTCTATTCAGCTAGAACAACATAGGAAGGAAACTTTATTTTTACAGCTTGAAGTACTGGAGTATGCCTGCCAACCTTAAGGAAACAAAATGCAAAAATTTTGCTTAAGCAGAAAACAAAAGAGAAATGTTTGCTGGAAACAAATTCTGTAAGGAAGCTAAAATTTGTTTCGTTTGATGCAAGTTATACAGTTTTGAATAATGTTAAATGGTTAGAATGGATGAATCAAACAAATTCATAGTAGTTTTTGCTTTGCTTTATTAAGAAAGGAAGCTTGATGGGGCAGGCACAAACCCGACCCTGATACATTTGACAGTTATTTCTCTTTAACCATATAAAGTTTCTGGGTTTATGAGTCTACACTTTGTAGGCATTTTTTGGATCTGTAGTTAGAAAAAAAACAACCCAAAAACTTCCAGTGTAAGGGAGCTTATAGGAAAAAAGATAGACACTCACATTTTGGCTGAATAAGCATCAGGTGAATTGTTGCTAAACTTACTTTACTAACTATGGTAGAGAAATAAGGAAATCATTAAAAGCTTAAGTGACTTGCTTCATGGTGTCGAGTCCTGCACTTGGGTCACAACA